CTCTCGGACCAGCAGAGGCAGAACGACCGTCGGCAGAACACTCAACAGCAGCACCCCCAGAACCAACACCCCCAGAGCGAGAACCCCCTCCAACACCAGCGGCACCCCCAGAAGCCGCAGGACGAACACCCTCCTCCACACCAGCACCCCCAGGGGCCGAGAGCAGCGGCGGCAGTGGCGGCAACGGCTGCGGCGGCGGCGACAGCGGCGACGGCTGCGGCAGCGACAGCGGCGGCGGCGGCGACGACAGCGGCGACGGCTGCGGCGGCGACGGCGACGGCGGCGGCAGCGGGGTCGGCGACTGCGACAGTGGGGGCGGAGGCACCGGGGAAGGGGGACGCGGCAAGGACGGACCGGGGGTACCACCAGAGTCAGCAGACTCCTCAACGGGGACAACCGACGGGAGGGGAGTGACGTGGGAGACACCAGACGGGGCAGGACGAGGCGGGAGAGGGGCAGGGGCTACCGGGGGAGAGGGAGCAAGGAAAAGGGGGGGGGCAACTGGGAGACCTCGGTGAGGGAAGCGGCGGTAGAAGGAGACGGACTCATCAAAGGTGACGTCACGAGAGTGGAGGAAGCGGTGAGACGGCGGGTGGTAGAAAAGCCAGTCAGACGAGTCCAGGGGGAAACCGAGGAAGACACAGGGGACAGTGCGGGCAGTGAGCTTGTCCGTGCCAGAGGCACGAACGTGAGCAAGGCAGCCCCAGACGTGGAACGCAGACGCGTCACCGGGGGACCCGGTCCAAAGGAGGGTCGGCGAAACCTGCGGCCGCTGGGAGCGTGGCCACAGGTTAAGCTGGTGAGCCGCGTAGCGAACAGCGAACGGCCACAGAAAATGGGGGGCATCGGCATGGATCATGGAGGTACGGGCGACCTCCATGACCAAGCCGATGCGGCCCTCAGCAACCCCATTCTGCTGTGGCGAGTCCGGCAACGTGTACGACTGGGTGATGCCCTCCGCACGACAGAACTGTCCAAGCCGACCAGAGGCGAACTCGCCGCCACGGTCGGAGTGGAGACACAACACGGGGAGACCGCGGTGGAGACGCGCAGCCACAACCCACGGGAGAAGAACGTCGGGCACGTCGGCCTTCCGCTCCAGGGGAAACACCGTGGTGTAGCGCGTGTAGTCGTCGACAAGCACAAGGAAGTAGCGCTCACCGCGCGGTCCGGGGACGGGGCAGGGCCCCAAACGTCCAAGTGCAGGGTCTGAAGGGGGGCAGTAGCAGGACGCAGCGAGGAGGAGTGAGGAGCACGGCGGAGCCGACCCTCGACGCAAGGCGTGCACGGTGGCGCAGTCGAGGGAGGAAGGGCAGGGAGCGACGCGGGGAGACCTAAGACAAGACCGTGCTGGGACATGTGACGCAGACGCGGGAGAGCAGGGTGACCTAAGCGGTGGTGCCAGAGAAGGGAGGGGTGAGTGAGGGACCGACACGAGCAAGCTGCAGCGACCTGGGAGGACGCACCAACCGGGGGGGAAGCGGTGTGTAGGGTAAACAGACCGGACACCGGGTCCCGGGGGAACGTCGCAAGGGGGGAACCTGAGACAGCCTCAGAACAGACAGCGAACCGCTCGTGCCCGGGGAACGTGGTGGTGACGCCGAGGTCCTGGAGACAGCCGACACCAACCAGGTTCCTGGAGAACGAGGGAACGTGGAGGCCAGTAAGGGAGCCCGAGGGAACTGCCGGACAGAGAAGGGACGTAGAACTGCGCGCGACGACCGGACCCGCAGAGGGGTCAGCGAGAGAGACAACAGCAGGTGCAGCAAGCGGCGTGAGCGTGGAACGGTCGCGGAAGAAGCAGGCAGAAGCACCAGAGTCGAGAGTGAAGGACAGCGACGCAGTGGCGGGGGCCGGGGACGGAGCCGGTGCAGCGACTAGACTAGGCAACCTAGGCAGTCCTACGCCTGTCGCAGCAGGGGAAGCTAAGCTACACAAGGGTGAAACACCTAAACTAGAGTACACAGGGTAGTAAGATCCATCAACGCTAGAAGCGTCAGCATACAAAGCATGCAAAGCAGCACCTATCTGATCCATGTCTAACTCAAAGATCGGCACGCCCTGGCGGAGCAGGCTGTGCCAGTCAGGGAGGTCCGGGGCCGGGCCAAAGCGACGACGAAAAAGATCGTCGAGGCGGCGGAAACAGCGGGCGGTCGGGTGCGGGCGGCGGCACAGAGTGCCGCGGAGAGGCCCGGTCTGAAGCTGGTACTGGCAGGTCACAGCACTGGAGCCGCTGGTAGACGCCAAGCTGCGCGGGCCGCCACCACGGCCACCGCCTCCGGAGGTGCCGGGCCAACCAGGCGGGAGACGAGCCCACGGCTGCGGCGGGTGCTGCTGGGACGGCGGCTGCGGCTGGGGCTGGTCCTGCTGCTGCTGGGACTGCTGCTCCTGCCCACCGGTGGTAGTCCCCTCAGGCGGACTACCGTCACCACCACCACGACCACTACCACCTGCGTCACCACCCCTACCTCCCTGGCGGCCACGGCCACCGCGACGCGAGCGCTGCTGCGGGTGGACAGCAGCAGCCGTCTCGGTAAGAGGGGTCGCCGTGGCGACCGCAGCCGAAACGTCAGTGAACGTGCACGGGGATGGGGCACAGCCGTGAAAGATAGAGACTGGCGGCGCACCGCTCGACTGAGCGATAGTGCGCTGGCGAGTCTCGATCTCAGTGAGGGTGTCGACAAAGGCGGTCAGGGTGAGGTCACCCGGGTGCTGGCTAAGAAAGTGGTCGCGAGCACTAGCGAGGCGGTCTGGCAGGCGCATAGCGATAAAATAGAGCGTCATGCAGAAAGGAGGGGGGAGCGCAGTGAGCTGGGCAGCAGTGCTGGCAGTGCGATAGCGAGTCTCTAGGGCACGCAAATGAGTGGCAAAATCTGCGACAGTAGGGAAGGCAGTCAGGTCTGGGAACAGCATCGGAAAGAGCAAGCGGCCAGCAGAAGCGGATGCAGGGGTGGAATAGCGAGCAATAACGGCGTCTAAATAAGCTTTGGCCGTTTCAACAGTAGCAAAACGCGAGCGCTCAGACACAGGGAGGGCGTGACTAATAGCAACCTGAGCTACTGCATCGCGTGAGTCCCAGATCGCACAGGCTAGCGCAGCAGTAGAGAAAGCCTCACGGTCATCAGAGGAGGGGTCAGCAGGGAGGGGAGTAGGTGCAGGGGGACGGGGGAGCAAGCCATCAGCATGGACAACCAGAGAGTGGCCATCCTGGCGCTGACCTGTAAGCTGGCGGCGAAGATCGGAGAGCCAGGCGGCGAAGTCAACCGCGTGGCCCTCAGCGTCCAGGCGGAGCACAAAGTCAGCCATCGTGCAGGGTCAGCGGCACAGCTCCTCAGCGACACAGCGGCACAGCAGCACAGCTCCTCAGCGGCACAGGAGCACAGCGGCGCGGGGACACGGCGGCAGCACTCTCCAGTAGGGCAGCAGCTAGGCGTCCCAGCGCAGGCAAGCAGAAGACACAGGGCCCGAGAGGACACGGCAGGCCGAGCAGGGGAGGCGGGCAGGTGCTCTGGGGCCGGGCTGGTGCTGGGAGGGGCCAGGCTGGTGCTGTTGGGGCCGGTCGGGCACGAGGAGGGGCCGGGCAGCGCTGAGGAGAGGCCGGGCGGCGCTAGGAAGGGGCCGGGCGGCACTAGGAGGAGGCCGGGCGGCACTAGGAGGAGGCCGAGCGGCACTAGGAGGAGGCCAGGCGGGCGAGCGCTAACAGCAGGCGCGACAGGGGCCAGCGGGCGCGACGGGGCCTAAGGGGCGCGACGGGGCCCAGCGGGCACGACGGGGCCCAGGGGGCTCGACGGGGCCCATGGGGGGCGCGACGGGGCCTAGGAGGCGCAACGGGGCCCAGCGGGGGCGCGTTAGGGCCTAGGGGTCGCGACGGGACCCAGCGGGCGCGACGGGGCCTAGGGGGAGCGCGACGGGGCCTAGGAGGCGCGACGGGGCCCAGCGGGCACGACGGGGCCCAGGGGGGGCGCGACGGGGCCTAACGAGCGCGACGGGGCCCAGGGGGGGCGCGACGGGGCCTAGGGGGCGCGACGGGGCCTAGGAGGCGCGACGGGCGGAAGCGGTAGGCGGGGGGATCCTAACCTAAGCGTGATACCATGTTAACGTAGAAACGAATGATTACTAGAGGTGGAAACCTAGAACAAATACTAGTTGGTTGTACTCACTAGAAGCATACCTCAGTCTAGCCTATAACTTCTACATAGATAATATGTATAAGTTGACATTCTTTGCTGCATAAAACGAGGAGGGTGTTATGTAAAATGCAACCCCCGAAAAGCGGGTGCTCTCCTAAATTCACCCTATCATAAGCTCTCCCTCGCATAAACCACCCGCGGAGTGACTATTTCGGCGGGTGTTATATACGGGGGATTACGGTAGAAGAAGTTTACGGGCAGTATCCGTTTCGAGAGAGTCCCCCGCGCCGGCAACTGTGCTGAGTCATCATGACAGCGGGGATGAACATGCGGACAGCGACGAAGCAGTTGCAGCCTTCTGGTTTTCGCCACATATTTTCGGACGGCGTCGCGAGGGTGGTTCGTCCAGGCCCAAATGACCTTTCGCGTTTTTCGCGAAGCCGCGAAGGACACGAGCGCAATGGAAATCTACGGAACACCGCAAACGGGAAACGCCTCGATGACTCAGCATGGCATGACCCCTTGGCAACTGACTGAACTAGAGCCCTATTCGGTCGAAACAACTCCACACTTATCGAAGCCGCACAAATTGTGAGCAAATGTCATGTTCGTGACCTATTGGTTGAGCTAATTAAACAGCACTTGGGGTGGTTTCTGATCGTCGCAGTGCAAAACAGCGTAACCGTGGTTACATACGCAATCTGAACTCTGCCACCCAACCTTCCCCTATTGCGACAAAAAAAGTTACCAACGAGCTCACCCTGAATCCCTCGCTTCTAGCAGCGAAAGCCGACGAAATACCAAATCGACAGAAGCCCCCGCGGCTCGAAAAGGTGGCGTTCCTCTCTCGGGCTCAAGCTGTAGTCGAAGTATAATATCATGATTGCATAAATGGTGGTAACTCTACCGAGCACACTTCAACAGCCCACTGTCCTAACGCCCACAATCACTAGGCAACACTGTAGAGCAACACAATCAGATGTTTCATTGCTTAGAAACATTATTCTACAGAGTTCTCCAAGATCAACTGAATCATTTAGCAATTGTTATTCTAGGGGAAGTTTGGCACATGCTAGTTACCTCAGCCTGCAAAATACTGCTGGCATTTCCTTAGGAAGGAGGTGGTAAGGGCTTGGCAATGACCTGCACACATGAACCACATATGCCCTCAAAGATTTTAATTGCTGCAAAATGGGAGCAGACGAACACGGGGACGGCTTGGACCGGCTTGCGTAAGCATGTTCATCTTGACACGAATTCGCTCTATTAGCAAGAGACGCGAACGACGCCCTTACCCGTTGGCCGCGCATGCAGTTGCCGTAGGTGGAGGCGATGAAGTAGGAGGTGGTGGTGATGGGGTTCGTCTCGCACCCCACGCCCACACCGTCCTCTGCGCCGCACGACGCGATGTAGCTCTTGTAGTTGCACGTGCGGTAGTCCGCCAGCGTGGGCACCTGGTACACCGTGTTGGCGTTCCTGGGGTACTTGAACACTGCACATGCACCGGCCGGCCACGGAGGGCACAAACAAAGGCGAAGGGAAAGTCATGAGGGCTACAGGCTAGCAATAGGGTCGGGGTAAGAGCACTCAGAGGAAAAGCAAATTACAAGCGTCCTGCACGATTGGTCCCACGCGTGCGCCGGGGCCGGAACCCCGCACATGCGGCACTCACCCAGCCTGTCGCCCTTGTAGATCTTGGTGGCGGCGGTCCACGCTGCCATGTCGGAGCGCGGGTTCCAGGGGTATGTGAAGGAGGACCCGGCCGGGTTGTACTGCGCCAGCGGCTCGCCCACCACCAGCTTGCGCGGCACGTACGGCACGGCCTTGGGGCGCACCGTGAACTGCACGCGGGGCCACGAGGCGGGGGGAGGGGGGGAACAGGAAGCAGCATTCCATTGGAGAAGCGCAGGGTGAGAGGGGTTGAAGCCCGAAGGGGTGTTCCGCGCGGGAAGGGGAGGGGGGAGGGGGGGTGGGGTAATGGCGCGGCACTCACCTTCATGCCGGCGCGGCAGTGGCTGTAGAGGCCCGAGCCGTAGTAGGCCGTCTGGTTGTCCACCTTGATGGTGCAGCCCTTAGCAAATGCGCCCCACACGTCGTAGCACACGATGGTGGCGCTGTTGTAGTTGCACGTCTTGTACGCGTTAAGAGACGTGAAGCGCACCACCTCCTGCTGGTACATCGGATACTTGAACGCTGCATGCGCGCGCGAGGGAGGGGGACAGGCAAAGGAGGCGAGCGGAAAAGAGTGGATAAGTACACGAGCCACGTAACAAGGCGCGCGATTGCAACTACCACAGGAGCACGATGGGGCAGACGGAGGCAATGAGTCGGGACGCCACGCCAGCAGGAGCGCGCGCGAGAGCGGGCGTGGCGGCGTACTGATGACGTCGCCGCGGTAGATCTTGGTGTTGGCGGCCCACGCGATGTAGTCGACGGCGGGGTTGAACGGGTACGTGAAGTCGCCCTTCGGCAGCCCCACCACAATCGTCTTGCCGCCGCCGCCGCTGCCGGACCCGCTGCCCGACGCCTGCGGCACGAACAGGGGGGGCGCGCCCAGCCCGCTGCTGCCGCCCACGGCGAAGTCGATGGGGAGGCCCTCGGGCAGATGGGGGAACACCCGCTTCCGCCGCGCGAACGTGGTCGCCGTCGCGAGGGACGCCGCCTGGATCACAACCTGCGAGGCAAGACGCACGGGGAGGTCGACGGGGAGACGGCACATGAGGGCCAAAGACGACGAGAATGACGGATGTGCCACCCGGATGCACGTGATGCTTCCTTCCTATCCGCGCGCCCACCGGCCTGTTCAGCGCCACTCACCTGCTGGCCCTGCTGGCAGTGTTCCTCCACTGACGTCAGATAGCGCGGCGCTGGAGTCACCGGCACCACGCACGCGCGATCGGTGCCCTTTTCCGGCGAGCAGACGAGGCTCGCTCGCGAGAAGTTACACGCGGTGAGGTCGTCGAACGACGGCAGCGAATACACTGCCTCCTGCTGCGAGTACTCGAAGACTGCAGGTCACGAGGGGGAGGGGTGGGAGATAGCGCGTTAGCGAGCGGGAAGGTGGAGCTGGATGGCGGCAGCTGCCATGGGAGACGACAACGACGCCTCGACAGCGAGGGGGCATGAGCGTCAAGGAACCACGTGGAGGATGCTATTTGTGGAATCAGTAGGCGACGCATGACGGAACAACTGTGCACCTACCAACGGCGTCAGTGGAAGAGAGCGTGTGGTTGCTCGCCCACGCGTTATAATCAACTTGCGGGTTCCATGGGTAGGAGAAATCCGCCGCGAACCTCGTTCCTGCCACCACTAGCTTTCCCGCATCGACTCCCCTCTCCCCGATGGCAACTATGAGCACTAAGGCGACAGCAGCGAGTCGAATCATCCTTCTAAACGTACAGAGTGACATGGCCAACTAATGCAGCCGTAGATAGTCTCAGGCGTGACGGGATACCGTTTGTGCCAGATATGTGCAATGGTAGACAGAGCCTTAGCTGAGGCAGAAGGATGTGCAGGGACGCTGAGGGAACTGGAGACGGAGCTGCGTGAGGAGGGCCGACAAGGTGAATGAATGGGCGGTGCAGGGCGCCACGAATGTGGGAACAACATGCTTGGGCGTCGGCGATGCTGCGCGATTGGGAGTGCCGCACGTCTCGCCCATCAAAATGTGCGAGACCACCACAAGCCCCAGACCGAGCCGCGCGTTGCAATGCTGCCACGGCCGGGAGCGCAGATGGCGCTGAACCCCCACCTTCAGCCATCGTGCCTACCAATCGATCACTCAGGGCGAGAGTACTCTTTTGGGGCTGCGGTGGGGTCAAAACGCCTTTTCATACAGAGGTGGTTATGATATAGGAAGTGTCAATGAACTATAACATGAGAATACAAGGTCGCTATTGCAAAGAAGGAACGAGGTTATATAGGGGTTGGCGTGCTAGGGCGATAACCTCGGAACGTGGGTAGGTTCGGCAATGTGGCGACAGTGCCGGACGCGACTCGGGAAGAGGTTGGGCCGATAAATGAGGCCGAACGTGACGAGTCGAGAAGTTCAGGTGTACCGCTAGCGTACGACTAAGTAAGGAATGGAAATTCCTTACACTACCCCCTCCCCTCCTAAACGAGGCCGCGGGCATCGGAAACATTCCGATGCTGATAATACGCTGTTCGAATCGGGTGTGATTCTATATCAGCGAGGCGCACCCAGCTGTCATCCTCGAACGTCCAATCGCGCAATCTGACGAGAAAATCCACCGTTCGTCGGTTCTGCTGCGTTGAGGCTCAACGGCCAAGCATCTTCAAAGGCTCGGTCGTCGGTTCGTGCAGGGGCGTTAGCTGTGGTACGATGCGTTGACGTGCCAAATCCGACGAACTGGGGACGTAGGGTCTTAGTAGGCTGACGTGGAAAGCCAGGTGGTGACGCCAATCCGCCAGTAGTCGGAGGTGAGCGGTGACAGGTGTCACCATATTGGTTACTTGAAAGGGGCCACAGGATCGGGGTCGGAGTTTGCTCGGGATCGACAGACGCAAACTGCGAGTGTCGAGTAGTACAAGATCTCCCACTTTGTAAGTGACGTTACGTCGATGACGATCGGCTTGTTGGCTTCCGACCAGATTGGCTTTCCGGATTGCCTCTGATGCCTTTTCTCGGGCTGCGAGGATGTCTTCGGCAAATCACTGTGACCAGGGCACGGGTGTCTCGATGTTTGGTGTAGAGGGTACCACGGGGTCCTATCCGTAATTGAGGAAAAATGGGGATTGATGGGTTGCGGCAGAAGGTGCGTTATTATACGCGAGCAGCGGATGGGATTTCTCCCATGTCTGTGGGTCAGCGCAGGTAGTCCGAATGAGTTGCTCCATTGTTTTGTTGAATCGTTCAGTCTGACCTTCAGTCTGTGGGTGGTAGGCAGAGGAAAACTGTAGTTTGGTGCCAAATTGGTCCCACAGGTGGCGCCAGAAATTCGATGTGAATTTCAGGTTCCGGTATGAAATAATGGCGGTGGGCAGTCCGTGCATTCTGATAACGTTGGCGATGAACAGTTGGGCAGTATGCTCAGCTGTAATTTTCTGTTGGCAGGTGATGAAGTTTGCCATTTTCGTGAGTCGGCGAACGATCACGAGGATGGCGTCGTTTCCGCTGGGACCGGGCGGATCCATCGTGACGTGTTGACAGGGTCTCTCGGGCGGATCCAACGACTGTAGGAGTTAGGCGGTGCAGGAGGACACGTACTTGCGCACGTCATCGGCCATGTTCAGCCAGTAATAATTGCGCTGCAACGTCTTCGTGGTTTTGTCGAATCCGAAATGCCCGGAGGTAGGATTGTTGTGGGATTCCTGGATTAGACGTGTACGAAGTAAACCGTAGCCGGGAACCCAGATGCGGGAAGTGTCGCGCTTATTAAAGTAGTGTCCAGTAGCGGTGGTAGGCTATTGGTGAATGTCGGAGCAGAAGAAGGGGTTGATTTTGTAGCCATGGGTAAATAGTCCGGTAAGGAGTGGGCTGGCCTGAGCGACTTGTATGGCGGCTGTGTGGGCAGTGGGTGGGGTCAGGGCATCAGCAATGTTGTTGGCGCCCAGCTTGTAGGTGATGGTGTAGTGGAAGTTTGACTCGAGGAAATCGAGCCATTGGATTTGTCGCGGGATGAGATTCGGCTGGGCTCGCTGGTACTGGAGGGATTTGTGGTCGGTTCGCCCAGTGACGTCAGCGCCTGTCAAGTAGCACCGCCAGGTCTTGAACGCGTGGACGATGGCCAACATTTCCTTGTCGTGTAATGTAATTTTTTCCTCAGCGCCCTTCACCTTACGTGATTCGTAGGCGACTGGCTGTAATCCGTCGCCGAAATCTTGTAGAAGAACTACACCGATGGCGATGTCGCTAGCGTCGGTGATGACTTCGTATGGACGGTTAGGATCGGAGATGCGAAGGACGGGCGGCGACGTGAGGGCGATCTTTAGTTGGTCAAATGCAGCTTGCTGCTTTTCTCCCCACCAAAAACAATCGTGATCCTTGAGTCGGTCAGTTAGCGGGGCAGATAACCCAGCCATATTGGGTATAAACCGGCGGACATAATTGACGAATCCCAAAGAACTCTGCAGCTCCTTGGTGTTGCTTGGCGGCTTCCATTCCTGTATGGTATTGATTTTCTTGGGATCGATTTTCACTCCTTTGGTAGAGACGATGTGATCCAGAAATTCCAACTCCTGTTCAAGGAAGTCACACTTAGATCCTTTGGTGATGAGGCGGTTCTTGTGCAGCAGCGTGAAGACTGCATCAAGATCTTGCAAGTGCTGCTCCCTACTGCGGCTGTAGATTAGAATATCGTCGAGGTAGATGGTGACACATTTGTCCAAGAGTTCCCTGAAAATTCCGTTCATGGTCATTTGGAAGGTCGAGGGCGCGTTCGTGAGGTCATCACCAGATACTCGTAGCTGCCGTTGCAGGTTCAAAATGCCGTCTTATGACAATCTCCGGCGGCGACGCGAATCTGATGGTAACCTCCCCGCAAGTCGCTTTTCAAGAAAAACTTGGCGCCACGAAGTTGGTCGAGAAGTTCGTTGGCTCGCGGGATCGGGTAACGCGACTTGATGGTGATCTGGTTGAGCGCTCGGTAGTCGATACACATTCCGAATCCTCCATTCTTCTTCGGCATGAACAGTATCGGGGTGGCGTATGGTGATCCTAAAATCTATGGGTATTTCCGGAGAGACGGCCTTGCATAGCTTCTCGATATCCTCGGTCTCGACCATCGATGTCACCTCGCGAAGATCAACGGCGTACGCTGCAGCTCCAGCTTTCATCGCGCATTTGAACGTGATCGCGTCGACTTGGGTGCTTCGCATGCGAGGCCCCGTCCACTTGGGCAGCTCACGGGAAATCCCATCGAGCTTGATGCTGTAGCCGCCCGTCGTCGGGTCAATCTTCAAGTTGTACCGTCACAACCAATCACGTCCCAGCAGCACGTCGCACCTGTCGAGAGTAGTCGCAGTAGTCCCATCCAAAAATTTACATGCTCCCCATAGGTAAAACCAATGTTCTCCACTCGTTCTCATATTGCCAGCGGTGTTCCGTCCACCAGTCAGACATCGATTTCAGGTAGACACTTGAGTAAGGGTATACCCTGTCTAGTTGTATGAGACTGTGACTCGCGCCTCCATCAACGAAGATCTTCAATAACACCCCGTTGACTTTACCCTCCACCAACAAAGGGTGATCAGCAGTTTCCTCTCCCTTATTCGTCCGGGTCCGGTCGATTGCAGCAATCGGGATCACAACCCGGTGGGGACTGTGTGGTTCGGGCGAAGAAGCCTGCCCGTCAGTAAGGGGCCCGGTACTTACTAACGCGACCCATTTCCTGGTCGCTCCTCCCTCTTCTCCCCCATAGAGTGTTCTGGAGGGCTATGAATTCTTGGCATTTGCGTCGGACGTGACCCGGCTGGCCACAGTGGTAGCATAGCCCCGTATTTCGCGGAGCAACTACGTAAATATCCACAGCGTCCACCCTTTTTATCATGGCGCGCTGGTACTGTTCTCGAGGGCGACCTCCGTTGTAGAATTTCGTCCTCGGCTTTGTGATCAAATCAGCGGCTTCGGCGAGCTGGATGTAGTCTTGTAACCGCTTCGCAGGGCGTTGCAGTTTTATGTAGTACTGTATTTTGGGCTTCAAGCAACCCATGTACCTGTCGACCTTCTCCAACTCGTGCATGTAGCCACATCTGTCCACCAACGTCAGGAATGACGCAGTGTACTCGGACACAGATCCCAGCTGCTTCCACATGCGTAGAGTTTCGCGTGCCTTGTCTGAGTAAGGAGCATGCTCAAACCGCTTGCGAAGCTCTGCACACCACGTTGCCCACGTGCGAATGTGTCACTCCGAACAACAGATCTGCCTTGTCTTCGTTACCGAATTCTTCAGACCACTCGTGCTGTCCTTCTGTGCGAGTTGCCGCTGAGTCGACGATGACCTTCCACCACTGTAGAAAGGCCCCTTGCAACAGTGTTAACGCATGGCTGATTCGCTTCTGATTGTCTCCGATGCCCGCCGCGGTAAAATAGATATTCATGGCGAATATTCACTGCCGCACCGTCATGCCTTTATTAGCTGGGTCAAAAGGAGCGGGTTGCTGATATCTTACGCCGCCACTTGTCGAGCGCGCGGTTGTTGCCGCTAGTCATGCCAGCTCCACTGGCGACAGTTGTTGTTCACACGCCTCGATTCGTGCATCATCGCCCGGCTCCTCTGGTTGCCTCTCCTGTGCCTGGCGAAGTCATTGGTTCTCGTCGCGGAGGTTATTGACGACGCTTGTCAAATTCTTCAACTGCTCCATTAATGTTTGCAGGTAGGTGCCGGTGGATCTCCAAGATGCCATCTTCTGCTCCATGGCAGCTATCCACTGAGAGGCCCAGGGTCCCGAAGTCGCCTCAGCGTAAGTGTGAGGGGTCGGGATGTCGAAAGCGTCTAGGTCACCCTCAGGGACTAGCAGCATGGAACAGAGATGGGGAGCAGCCTCGGAGAGGAAAGCAAGCTCGAACTGGCGGTCCTCCAGGACGTCACTGCCAAGGGAAGGAGCACCCCCGACAGACGGAGGACAGGCAGGGTCAGAGACCAGAACGGTGGCGTAGTCAAGGCAGCGGGTAGAGGCGAAGTCAGCGACAGCAGCGACAAGAGCGTCAAGGCACGAGACCGGAACAGACGGGTCGGTAACGAGAGAGGCAAGGACCCGAGGAACAAGAGGACGAGCGGCACCAAGGTAGTCAGACAGCGGGGGGGGTGCAACAACAAGGGAGGATGGAGGAGGCGACGGCAGAAGGGGAGGACGAGACGCGTGGGAATGAAGCAACATAAGGTGGGAGCGCAAGACAGGCGAGGCAGGACGAGCACGGGAGGGACGGTGAGACCAGACGTGCAACGGAGGAGTCGGGTCAGAAGACAGGGGAGGTGAAACAGGAGGGGAACGAGGGGGGAGACAGGCCGGGGACGAGTTCGGCGGAGGGAAAACAGGGCCGTAGACAGGAAGAGGAGGAGGCGGTCGAGGAGGAACAGACGCAGGGTCGGGGGACGGAAGGCCGAGCAGGCGAAGGGCTGACAACGACGGGGACTGCTGCTGCGGCGGCACAACGGCGACACCTGGACAGCAAGCTGCTCCGCGGCTACCACCAGCACTCTCCACACCAGCACCCCCAGAGGGACCACCCCCAGGGCTACCGGGACGAGCACCCCCAAAGTCAGCGAACGGGTGCTGCGACGGCGGCAGCGGCGGCGGCGGCAGCGATAACGACGGCTGCAGCGGCGGCAGAGGCGGTGGAGGAGGGTACTGGGGAGGGGACGCCAGGGGAGGGGCGGCCGGCGAGGACTGAACAGGAGGGCCACCTGAGTCAGAAGACTCCTCAACCGGGTCCACCGACGGAAGGGGGGTGACGTGGGAGACACCAGAGGGGGCGGGACGGGGAGGAGGAGGAGGAGGGGCAGGGACTACCGGGGAAGGAGTGACCAAGAACAGGGGGGGGGTAACCGGGGGACCACGGTGGGGGAAGCGGCGGTAGTAGGCGACGGACTCGTCAAAGGTGACGTCACGAGAGTGAAAGAAGCGGTGAGATGGGGGGTGGTAAAAGTGCCAGTCGGACGCGTCAAGGGGAAAACCGAGGAAGACGCAGGGAAGGGTGCGGGCAGTGAGCTTGTCCGTGCCGGAGGCACGGACGTGAGCAAGGCAGCCCGAGACGTGGAACGCAGACGCGTCACCAGGAGACCCAGTCCAAAGACGGGTCGGTGAAACCTGCGGCTGCTGGGGGTGCGGCCACAAGTTAAGCTGGTGAGAAGCGTAGCGCACAGCGAACGGCCACAGAAAATGGGGTGCACCAGCATGGATCATGGAGGTGCGAGCCACCTCCATGACCAAACCGATGCGTCGCTCAGCGACCCCATTCTGCTGTGGGGAGTTTGGTAGGGTGAACGTCTGGGTGATGCCCTCCGCACGAAAAAAGCGACCAAGGACACCTGAGGCAAACTCGCCACCACGGTCTGAGTGAAGACGCAAGACAGGGAGACCGCGGTGGACACGCGCAGAGACAAGCTAGGGGATGAGAGCGCCAGGCACGTCGGCCTTGCGCTCCAGGGGAAAGACTGTGGTGTAACGAGTGAAGTCGTCAACAAGCACAAGGAAGTAGCGCTCTCGACGCGGCCCAGGGACGGGGGCGGGGCCCCAGACGTCCAGGTGCAGGGTCTGCAGCGGCGCGGCGGTAGGGGGAAACGAGGAGGAGTGAGGGGCACGGCGAAGCCAACCCTCGACACAAGGCGTGCAAGGAGGGGCGGGGGAGGAGGGAAACTCGGGGAGAGAACCTGGGAGACCAAGGACAAGACCGTGCTGGGAGATGTGACGCAGACGCGGGAGCGCAGGGTGACCTAGGCGGTGGTGCCAAAGGAGAGTCAGGTGAGTGAGGGACCGACAGGAGCAGGCAGCAGCAACCTGGGTAGACGCAGCCACCTGAGGGGGGGCCCTAGCCGGGGGGGTCACGGTGTCCAGAGTGAACAGGCTGGACACCGGGTCCCGGGGGAACGTGGACAGGGGGGCACCAGTGGCGGCCTCGGTGTAGACAGCATACCGCTCGTGACCAGGGAACGTAGTGGTGACGCCAAGGTCCTGGAGGCAGCCGACACCAACTAGGTTCCTGGAGAACGAGGGGATATGCAGACCTGTGAGAGAGGCCGAGGGAACCGCCGGACAGGGAAGGGTGGTGGAACTTCGGGCGAGTACCGGTCCGCCAGAGGGGTCAGCAAGAGAAACTGCAGCAGGAACAGGAAGCGGCGTCAACGTAGTGGAGTCGCGGAAGAAACACTGAGAAGCGCCAGAGTCCAAGTTGAAGGAGAGCGAAGCAGAGGCGTCTGGCGACGAAACGACGGCGGAAGCACCAAGACTACACAAAGCAGGGGATCCTATGCCTGACGCAGCAGGGGAGGCTAAGCTAGGCACACCTACACTAGGCAATAGTGAGTAATAAGCGGGAAGCACACTAGAGTGATTAGCATACATCACATGCAGAGCAGGAGCAATGGCATCCATGTCCATATCAAATATCTGAATCTGACGACTAAGCAAATTGTGCCAGTCCGGGAGGTCTGGCGACGGGCCGAAGCGCTGACGAAAGAGGTCGTCCAGGCGACGAAAACAGCGGGGAGTGGAGTGACCGATCTTACCGCAAACGAAGCCGCGGCGAGGACCGGTCTGGATCTGGTACTGACAGCGCCCGCCGCCAGAGCCACCACGCGGCACACCACCACGCGCCCGGCCACCGCCAGCGCCGGGCCACCCTGGCGGGAGGACACTCGTCTGCCGCGTCCGCGACGGCTGCTGCGGCTGCTGCGAAGGCTGCGACTGCGGCGGCTGCTGCGGCTT